CGTTAACTAAAAGAGAAGTATTATCGATTATAGCAAAAATGTTCGACCCAGCTGGTTGGCTCAGTCCCGTTGTAGTCACAGCCAAAATAATAATGCAATAAATATGGCTCGATAAATCCGATTGGGATGAAAGTTTAAAACCCTTAACTTTCCATCGCTGGAAAACCTTTATAAAGGATTACGAAAATCTAAATCTGATTGAAATTCCTCGGTGGACCAACTTTTCTACATCCGCGATCATCAATTTCCACGGATTCTCTGACGCATCAGAAAAAGCTTATGCAGTAAACCTATACATCAGTGTTTCAACAAACACAAACACCTGGACAACTCTTTTGACATCCAAGACTCGTGTGTTCCTAATAAAAAGTATATCTTTACCAAGGATAGAACTTTGCGGAGCGATTCTTCTGGCGAATCTAGTTGATGCAACCCTACCCCGATTAAACATTACTCAGTACCGCACTCACCTTTGGACAGATTCTACAATTGTCCTTTCTTGGCTAAGCAAACCCCCTTGCTCTTGGACAACCTTTGTATCCCAGTAGTTGCCCTTAATTGCAGAAAAGGTTGGAACCGAAAATTGGCGTCATATCGAAAGCCAGCACAATCCGGCAGATCTTGGTAGTCGCGGATGCATACCTCTGGAAATGGTTAACCATGATCTCTGGTGGCACGGACCCCAATTGCTAAAACTCGACCCGAAACATTGGCCAATTACCCGAAAATCAATCGATTCAACACTGGAACTGCGGCCAATCAAGACTTGCGTCAACACAACACAAGAGGATATACTGGATTGATTTTCATCACTACCCAAAGACATTCGAGTCATAGCATATTTATTCAGATTCTGTTCGAATGCGTCACCCAACAGATCACAACAGCCATACACAACGTTGGAAATAACTCCAGACGAGTTCAAAACTACCCGCACGAAGTTAATTATTTCAACCCAAAGAAAGCACTTCCAGGAGGAGTATGAAGCTTTAATTAAAAAAACCAGCCTACACAGAAAAAGTACAATTTTGTCCCTAAACCCTTTAATCGATCCCCGAGGAATAATGCGAATTTAATGGCCGATTGATTCATATAACGAGCGTCATCCGATTATACTACCCTATAGCAGTCGATTAACAAAACTACTCACCCAATTTACCCACTCAATTACCCTACATAGTGGAAACCAGCTAGTTTTACGACTCATGCGTACGGAGTTTTGGATACCGAAGCTTAAAACGCTCATAAAGTCCATTATCCATCAGTGCAAAACTTGCGTCTTACACAAAAAGAGAGAAACTACTCAAATTATGGCTGCTATTCCAGAGGAACGTACCACCCTAACCCGCCCATTCGCGGAAAAAGGAATCGACTTCGCCGGTCCCTGTGACATAAAAAATTACACCGGCAGAGCGTGCTTGATCATAAAAGGTTATGTATGCGTATTTGTTTGTTTTGCAACCAAAACAATACGCCTGGAGGCAGGAAGCGATCTCACCACCCAATCATTCATGCCCGCATTCGCACGATTCTTTTCCAGGAGCGGATGTCCCTCCGATCTCTATTCCGACAATGGTACTAATTTGGTGGGAGCGTCTAAACTCTTAATCAAAGGTCGACGAGAATTCATAAAATCACTAAAAACACAAGTAACAACAAGTGAAGCACACCAAAACATCAACTGGCACTTTAATCCTCCTGGAGCTCCACACATGGGTGGACTCTGGGAAGCAGGAGTGAAAAGTTTAAGACCCCAGGAATATAGAACCTTTAACTCCAGGCCATTTCTTAATAGGTACCTCTTTATTAACCCAAGCAGAACCCAACTTAGAAGATACACATCTAAGCATCGCACATAGATGGCACAAGTTAAAGATACTCCATCGACACTTCTGCAAACGATGGAAAGAATATCTAAAAGAACTCCACAAACGGTATAAGTGGAAATACCCTCAACGCAATATAGAGGTCAATGATACGGTAGTTATACGCCAAGTAACTCTACCCCCAAACGCATGGAAACTTGGTCGCATCGAAAAAACCTATCTCGGTGCAGATAATAAGACCAGAGTAGTTGACATATGTACTTCTCAAGGAACAATTACCCGCCCAATAACCAAAATAGTCACCTTACCAAATAACTAATTTCATTTCTTTATAGTGACGTGGCTTCTCAAATAGCATCAAATCAATCTGCAGCCGACAGAGCAGCCCAGCCTTCACCGTACGATCACTCAGGGTCACCCGAAGCATCCCCCCACTCTCCGACAATGGGACCCTGGCTAGACGCTTACATCGCTTTAAAGCGACCCTCTCCCCCATTCGAGAAGAAAGAGGAAGTACCCACCGCACGGCCCGACGAACTATCACCCAATCATCAAAACGCACACATAAACACGTCGCCTGTGGATTGTGTAAAAAGGATCACCGATTCACATGTTCAAAATTTACAAAAATGAACATTCACGAAAAGTTTGACGCAGTAACTATAAGTACTGCGTCAACTGCTTGGCCAAATCGCACTCAACACAAAGATGTACAAACGCAAAACGATGTAGCATGTGTGACTGGGAGCATCATTCAACCCTACACGGACACCCCAGGTTGTTCTGCATAGAGACAACCAAAACAACAAAGAGCGACAAACAAAACACTAAGACCGAGAGATTTCAACGGTACTGGCCAAGTCGACCCTTATACCCACTGCCATGAAAAAAATAAAACCCGATGGCAAATGGAATAAAGTACGTACCATAATTAACCCGACCAAAAAGGTAACAATAATTGCCTCTGAGCTGGTTCAGAGATTGAGGTTACCGAAAACATACCTCGACTCTCACCGTATAGGTATGTAAAATCGTCATAGGGTCACTAACTGATCCCGACTGGCATGTCGAAGTCAACTGTCTTATGACGCAGGAATTACCGACCCGACCCTACAATCGTGATATAGGTGTCGAAACCTTTAAGAGATTCGACCACTTAGTCCTAGCCGACCCTATGTTCCACAAGGATGATAAAATCATGATGGAACTGGGAGCAGACATCTACCCAAAGATAATGAAACCCGGATTATTCAACTCAGACAACAGCACCGTGATCGCACAAAGCACTTCACTCGGTTGGACTCTAACCGGTGCTTGTGCGAGTAGTTAAACCCTAAGTAACCACTCAACCCATTTTAAAACAACCCAAAGCGAAATAGATCTAATAACTTTTTTATTCGCAGACCCTGCAAGGCGGCCGGGATGTTCATACCAAATGAACACATCCCTGCATTGTTCTCCAAACTCGTATAAATATGAATTAGAGGACAATGCAAAAGGCTCAACAGCACCAACATAGCTCATAATTCCCAATAAGAATAAATCAGCAGGCAGGAGCAGATATCAACGCGGACGGACATAAAAAGGCGCGAAAAATAGGTCGCCCCAGCAGCACCACCAAAATCTACGCGGGATTATCAACCCACATCAGGTTCTAATTAAGTTTATAGTTAATTTATATTATTTAAGTCTAACTTACAAATAACACATAAATTGAATTATATATATAACCCTTAACAAACACACACATATATATTGTACAATTATCCCACACAAATTGTCTAAAATATTTATATGAATTGTCAAATTAATTATAGTTCAATTTTGTAGAATTTTATTTAACATTTTATTTTATTTGGCACACCAGCAAACTCAACATCGAGTACTTCGACATGTACACTAATTGATTCTTGCGAAATGTTTATGTATGAGCATCTATATATTATATATCGACGCAGATTTTGCGAGCCATGGAAAAACATTTTTGAATAAAATATTTTAAATCGACAAGAACTATGTTGCCATATTTGTCAATTTTTTCTGTGTTTGCTGGTTTTCGAGGTTGACACTTTTCCCTCTCAGAAGGAACGTCAGAAAGTTGTTCAATTTATGATCTTTAGCTTTTGCAAACGTCGTGAATCGGGGAGTACGCGTAAAATTTATATATAAAGTGTTTTAAATATGTATAAACAAAGTGCATTTATTAATGAAGAAAGTGATGAAAAAATAGTGAAAGAATTGAGTGAGTACTCTATATACATACGTTTTATTATTATCACAAATGCAGGGAATTTCGATGATCAAACTCTTAATGTGGTTGTTTTTGTTCAAATTTTTTGATTGAATAACCATAAAGTAAGAATCTTATCTAGAATGGTTCGTATTTAAGTAGCAAATTCCTTTTAATTTTTTTTAGTAAGTTAACCGGTTCTGCATCTACCTTCTTAGTTTTCTTTTGTCTAACAGTTAACGGAGAATTTATTTAGTTTGTTATTTAGATGTCTCAAATAGCCAATGAATTGGGGCTATTTGGACACTTCATGTTGTTTTATGGTTTTAGGCATGTTTTTGAAAGATTGAATATTGAGGCCCAGGGTTTATTTGAGACACTTCCAAACATAATCTAAAGGTGCGTTCGAAAACACAGTAACAATCAATGTTTTTGAACTTGAATTAATATCAAAGAAAAAAAAAAATACTGCATGCAAAATAAATAAATAATTATAATATAAGTTGATAAAAACGCTTTGAAATAGATTTACCGCGGCAGTCCCTGTACGTTTTTTTTAATATAAATATTTTGAACAAGTAAACTGTAGTTATCAAACTAATATCATTTCAGTAAGCAGACTCTAGTCACTGATTGAGACATTTTGAGCTAATATCTCAATTTGTGACAAGTTACTACAAGTATTTACAATACAGTATCTAGTCACAAAATATTGTCTCAACTTTGTCAACTGATAGTAAGCAGGTCACACAACTATTAAGAAATTTTTTTTCCAACTAGGGAGAAGCGTGTGAATTGTCAAAAGCTAACAAATTGCGATGAACGTGTTTCACCTCACCTAGCGCGGCTAGCTTAGTGAAAATTATGCTCAGAAGTTTGCATTGATATTACAAACGTATGTTAGTTTTTTGGTTTATGTTTTTATTATGTATTGATATTGTTAAGCCCACCACTTACTTGCCACTTTATACTTCCGCGTGTGCAAATTAAAGTAAAATTTAATGTTTTTCTGTTTCGAAAATGTTTATTTTAATATGAAATTATAAAAAAGGTTATCTTGACGCACTCACTCCCTGGTCGCATACCAGTGGAAAGGTAATTAAATGATATAAATTTATTGACGATAAAACGCGCCAAAGGAAAGTTCGATGTTTGCTGATCGACAGTCGCTGAGAGAAGAGGCTGTCCGCTCCGAGGACAGATGTTTTGTTCGGTGTGTTGTGTAGAGATCCTTGTGTGGTGTGTGGGTGTTGTGTGTGGGTATTGTGTGTGGTGTGTGGGTGTTGTGTGTGGTGTGTGTGCCAGTGTTGTCTTGTGTGTGGTGTGTCTGAGTTCTTCGGGGCGGGAATTGTAACTCATTTGGCCATCCCGGCCCCCCTAGGCGAATGTTCAGCTTAGCAGTCGCTGTAGCTGTTGCAACGTTGCCACAACGTGCGGCGATAGTTCGGCCTACGCCTAGTCGGTGCTACGTTGTACTGACGCCATGGACGGGACTCCGATCGGGGTGCCGTTCTTCGGCGACGTGCCACACGATTGGCTTGCTGCGGTCGGTTTGCGCCGCGGATCCGTGGGGCAGGCTGCCGACTGACCTCTCGCCTCGGAGTACGGTGAAGCATCGTGTGATGCTGCCTGCCATACATTTGGCACAAAGCACCGGAGTCGCATTCCTGCGTCGTGTGTGTATGTGCCAGACAATTGTTGCAATGCCCATGCGCCTGGGCAACCTGCTGGCGTTGTGTCGGCGACATGCCCTTGAAGAGCCCACAGTGCTGCAACTTGTGGGGACAGCAACAAAGGGGGCATCGGATGCGATGGGGCGCCTCAGGTGGAGACGGAACGGCTGCGGATGCTCGAATACTATTACGAGCGGTGATTGACGGTGCGGTTGCAGCTGGTGTTCGGGGCGCCGCGGTTGGCATAATCACAAGGCGAGGCACAGTGATGGCCGATCGCATTGTTGGCGTTGAGGTGGAATGCATTTCAGTATCCATATCTATCTGTATGGAGAAAAAGGCGTGATTAGTTACGATTCAGTGGTATAGAGTATGGATATCTTTCTATATGTGACCAACTTTATTTGGTTTGGTGATCGTATTATTTTGTTAGTATATATGATTGTAATTTGTCATATTATATTTGCGGTTTTTTATTTCTGTTTTCGATTATTTAGACGGATATTTCGATTTTTTTCTTGTAGGTATTATTAAACGGATGGTTTACTACATGCTATTATTTGAGATTGGCAGGAAGCATAGTTTAACGATCGGTCTGGTTAGCGTTCCGTTTCGAGTACGGAGGTCAACTACTCGTATATGACCGTCGGAACCGTGATGTAGCTTCTCTATGCAACCAAGTCGCCATTCTGTAGGGGGAAGACAATCGTCATTAATTAAAACAAAATCTCCAAGCTTTGGCGCCTTTTCGGGAGTTTTCCAGCGGTACCTTTTATGAAGGTCCTTTATATACTCCTCCTTCCATCGGCGGCTGAAATCATGATGGAGAATTTTAATTCTTTCCCATCTATTTTGTAAGGATAGCGACTCCACGCCTGGCTCAGGTATGGCCAGAATGGGTACTCCTTTTAGAAAGTGCCCTGGAGTTAGGGCTGTGAGATCTGAGGGATCTTGCGAGAGTGTCGCTAGTGGCCGTGAATTGAGAACGGCTTCAATTCGAGTTAATAAGGTCGAGAATTCTTCATAATTAAACTTGTAGTTTCCAGCTACTTTTTTGAAGTGGGATTTGAAGCTTTTTACAGCTGATTCCCATAAACCACCCATATGAGGAGCGCTTGGGGGGATAAACTGCCAACTAATGCCTTGAGGTGCGTACTTCTGTACAATCTCAGGTGAGACTTGTTTGATAAAGTCCACAAACTGTTTCTCAGTGGCTCTTTTGGCTCCAATAAACGTTTTGCCGTTGTCACTCATTATTTTTGAAGGAAAACCACGCCGTCCGACGAAGCGAGCGAATGCCGCGAGAAAAGCCTCTGTCGTCCGACTTGTACATAGCTCAAGGTGAACAGCTTTTGTCGTAAAACAAACAAAAACTGCCACATAGCCTTTCATTAAAGTGGGAGATCTTAACATTGAAGCCTTTATCTGGAAAGGCCCAGCAAAATCGACACCTGTTGTTGTGAAGGGCAGAGCAAAGTTGCAGCGTTCAGGTGGAAGTGCTGCCATTATCTGCGTTCGCATTTTTTGCTTGTACGTTGTGCAAACTTTGCACATGTAAATGCACTTCTTTATTTGAGGCTTAAGACGGGGAATATAAAACTCTTGGCGGACTATTTGTTGCATGAGGCGGTGCTCGGCGTGTAGCATCAGTATGTGGACATAATGCAGATATAATGTGACAAGCCGTTCTTTTTCTGGTATGATTATGGGATGTCGTTCGTTGTATGTCAGGCTGGAGTTGACAAGCCGATCATTCGCACGAAGCAAACCCTTTGTGCCCAGAAATGGATTTAGTACTAAAATTGAGCTCTTTTTATCGATTGGCTTCGAATCTTTTAGCAATGATATTTCTCGGCTGAAGTAGCGCGTTTGAGTAGATGCGATAAGAGCGCCTTTTGCTTTTTGTAAGTGTAGGTGCGTTAATGTATCGCATTGGGGGTATATTGGAGGTGTTCCGTTAACTTTAGTTTTGAGCTGCTCTATAAATTTGATCATGTAGGCAACTACTCTGAGGGCTCGGGGGAACGATGAGGATCGCTCAAGGATGTCAGTATCATCCGATGTTGCATGAAAGGAGTCGATTTTTCGACTTTCTGGGGCAATTATATTGCGCATGGGCGATTGTGGCCAAGAATCAGGAGATTCTGTTAACCATCGGGGGCCATTCCACCAGAGGGTGGTGGTGACAAGGTGCAGGGGTTTGCACCCTCTTGTACCTAGATCAGCAGGATTGTCAGCACTGGCTACATGTCGCCAAGTGGCTGATCCTACTAGGTCAAGTATTTGAGACGTTCGGTTGGAAATATACGTCTTCCATGCATGTGGTGGTTTTTCTAACCAGGCTAGTACGATTTCGGAATCGGACCATAGATATAATTTATATTGTGCCATGTTTAAATGTGTTTGTACGATGGACACGAGTTTGGCTAGTAGTAGCGTTCCACATAATTGAAGTCGTGGTAGAGTTATTGTTTTTAAAGGAGCCACTTTTGCTTTTGCTACTAGTAAGTGGCATGTGGTCGCATTGTCGCTTTGTGTGCGAACATATATAGTTGCGCAATATGCCCTTTCAGAAGCGTCACAGAAGCCGTGTAGTTCGACTTTGTGCTCTGGGGCATAATTTACCCATCGTGGGATTTGTATCTGTGAGATATCATTTAGATTGCTCGCAAACTGGGACCACTTTTCTAAACGAAGTGGTTTTACTTGTTTGCCCAGTCGGTTCCATCTAACCATAATTCTTGTATTAGGATTTTGGCTTGTATCATAATTGGCGAAAGCCATTCTGCGGGGTCGAAAAGTTTTGCCACAGAGGATAAGATTTGCGGCTTTGTTATGGCAGATAATGCAGATATTGACTCTGTAGTGTATGAAAACTGGTCAGATATCGCATTCCATTGGATTCCCAGAGTTTTTGTTGTACTTTCCTTTTCGAATTTAAGGAAATTAGTATCTAACAGATTTTCTTTAGGTATGTCCGTTAAGATATTAGGGTGGTTCGCCGTTATCTTTTTTAACGGAAACCCTGCGGTTTTGAGGGCTTGTGTCACTTGTGCTAGTGACTCGTATGCTTGTGGAAGACTGTGACTTCCAGACAGGATATCGTCTACATACGTTTGTGTTTTTAACACCTGGGTTGCCAGAGGAAATTCTGACGTGGTGTTTTCTGCCAATTCGTGCAGTGTTCGAATGGCTAAATATGGAGCACAGTTGACGCCAAAGGTAACTGTTTTCAATTTATAGTCGCGGAGTGGACTATTGGGAGATTTTCGGAAAATAATACGACTATTTGTCTATACATTTTTTCGACGTCTCCGTTAAATACATATTTGAATATACGCCAATTTAAAATGAGTAGCATTAAATCTGGTTGGAGCGTGGGTCCCGTAAATAGAATATCATTTAGGGAATTCCCCGAGCTAGTAGATCTTGATGCATTAAAGACAACTCTTACTTTAGTTGTTTTTTTGTCTGGCTTTACTACTGCGTGATGAGGCAAGTAAAATGAGTAATATGTGCCATTTATGATTTTTTCGCATGGGCTTACTTCCTCCATGTGATCTAAATGGAGGTATTCTTCTAAAACGCCATCGTATTCTGGCTTAAGCTCACCTTTTTTAAGTAAGTTTTTTTCCATACTTAAAAACTGCTGTATTGCAGAGGTGCGAGAGTGACCTAGGGCGAGTGTGTTAGGAAATTGTTGTTTTAGTGGTAGTCGTACGACATACCGACCATTATCTGATCTAGTAGTTGTGGCTTTGTAAAAGTCTTCACAATACTGATCTTCAGGGGTTGTGATTGATATGGAGGGTAGCTCTTCTAACTCCCAAAATTTCTTTAATTGTGAATTGAGGTATTCGTTTGAGATTTCCCCAACCTGAGTGGTCATGGTGGTAACTGGTTCCGAAACTAGTCCACTTAGGATCCACCCAAAAATAGTATTTTGTGCCAGAAGTGTATTTGAAATTTTCTCAATACCTTCGAGTATTATCTGTGGTATGAGATCGCTGTCTAATAGAAGGTCTATTTGAGCGGGAGTGTTGCAGTTGGGATCTGCTAGCTTTAGGTGTGAAACCTTTTGCCAATGCTTGCCATTTATGTGATAGCTTGGAAGCAGATTTGTAAGTTGCGGTAAGACTAAGCTTGGGGGGAAATTAGGGTAATGGGGCAGATTTTATTATAGTTTTGAACTACTCTTCCGCCCATTCCTGTAATTTCAAAGTTGGCTTGTTTTGTAGGCAGTTGTAGCCTATTTTGTGCCCTAGACGCTATGAAAGATCGTTGTGATCCTTGGTCTATTAAGGCCCTAAGTTTAAACAGCTCTCCTCGGTGTTCGATGGAGACGACTGCTGTGGGTAGTAGTATTCTACTTTGAATTTCGCTGTGTAGCGTTTGGGTTTTTATTGCCTTTGAGCAGCATGGTGCTTCTTGGCAATTTTCGGGATATAGCACTTCGGGATTTGCTGTTGCAACTAAACCCGTGGCTCTTTTCATAGTTGCGCTGTTTGGGGGTGATCTAGAAAAATTGTTATAATGAAGCATAGAATGATGTCGTTTATGACAATAAACGCAATTAAATTTGCTTTCGCACTCTTTAAGTGTATGCGCATGTGACAAGCAGTTTGTACAAAGTCGTTTTGTTTTTACAAAATTGTTTCGGTCGATAATATTCAATGTTTTGAATCTCTCGCAAGATTTGAGCTTATGCCCTCCTGTACATAGTTCGCATGACGTTTGTTTGTACTGTTCGGATGTGAACGTATGATTTTTGAAGAAGCTTCTATTTAAATTGTTGTTGCTACTGGCTTGGGGTCTATGGAAGCTTCTATTTAGGTCATGTTGAACGGGTTTTGTTCTGACCATTTTTTTATCTACCCTTTCTGCGATTTCATATTGGGTAGTTAGGAAATCTTTCATTTGTTGCCACGTGGGGCATTTTCTTCGTGATGAGAGCGATTGCTCCCACAAAAGTAACGATTTTTCTTGTAAAGCGGCGGTGCATATATTTACCAGTATTGGGTCCCAGCTGTCTGTGGGAATATTTTGTGTCGATAAAACCGACTAACAATTTGAAACAGTGGATTGAAGTTTGATGAATTCTTCACTTGTTTCCCTTTGAATTTTTGCCAAGTTCATTAATATCGATATTTGCTTATCGACCAATATCCTTTCGTTTTCGAATCTTGATTTAAGAGCTTCCCAAGCCAAATTGAAATTATCGTCATTTAGTGCGAACTGTTTTACTATTACGCCTGCTTGACCTTTTGTTTTGTATCGGAGGTGATACAATTTTTGTGCATTTGATAGTTTTGGGTGGTTCATGTAAACGGCTGTAAACATGTCCCGGAAGGACGGCCATTGTTCATAACCACCATGAAATATTTCTGTGTCATATGGGGGCACCTTGAGATGGATGCCTGAACTTGCCTCTTGACTTTGTGCTTGTGGCAGCTCTACTCGCTGATGTGGAGTAGGTGCAATTGCTTTTATTAGCTTCAGCTGATCGGAAATCATTGATTTAGTGTCTTCGAACTGGTCTAAGCAGTTTTCATATTTGGCGTAAGCCGAGGACTTAAAATTTTCTGGTAGATCTGATTCGTCAGATTCTACTATGGCGTCATATGAAGCTTGGAGACGTATCCAAAAATTGTCGAGATTTTCCTTTTTGATTTCTAATGCCGATTCAGAATTATCTTGAATCGGAGAAGATGAAAATCGAGTGCAGTATCTTATTAAACTGTCACTCTCAGCAATGAATTTACTATATGTAATGTCTTTCCCCCTTTTTTGTTTTGTAGCACCTTGCTTTGATCGTGTAGCTTCTGCAGGTGTACATGAACTTTTTTCGTCCGAAATCATTTTTGGTACTTTTAGTAGTTGTGTAGATTTAGAATCTTTAGAATCTGCGTTCATTTAAAAAAGTCCAATTAATGAAATAATTTATCTCAGTGTAAACTGATTAAATTTAAGCGAAATTCGTAATTGTAACGCGTAAACTCTTTTATATAAATAAGAGAATTAGTAAATCGCTTTCTTTTTATTTATTTATTTTTTTTTTAAATCGGATTAAATGATATAGCGTGTTTCGTTGTTACGGTATTTATTTATTATTTTTCTCGATTGTATTGTTTATTTTAATAATTATTCAAAAATTGCAATATCTAGTTTGTTATATCTTTTTTGTGTTCGTATGCGTTATAGGGTATACCTATAAGCGAATTAGTATGTGTCAACGAGAGCTCGTATAAGAGATCAATGTACTTTATACATATGTACGCAATCCTACTTGTTTTTTGGTTGCCAAGAAACAAGGGGTATTGCCGGATTTGTGCCTATATGGACTTTGAATATAAATAATATTAAATAATTTTTTTTTTCTTCTACGCAATCCTGCTTGTTTTTGTTTGCCAAACAACAAGGGGTATTGTCGAGTATGTGCCAAATTGGACTTTGGAATATATTAAATTAAATTGTATAGAAGCAATGTATATAATATTTTTCACAATTTTTTATTATCGTTATTTATTTATTTATAGAATTATAAATATTTTTTTTTTTTTTTGTTAAGAATTCGTTTTTTTCTTTACCGAACCGTTTAAAATATTTTTTTTTTTTCGAATACGCTTTTTTAAGTTCTTTAACTTTTAGTGGTACCCTAGTAGGGTATAATAGTATGTCCCGTACTTGTATAAGTATGTATGTAAACGAGCGGACGTTGTTTCTGAGTTAAGAAAGAGCGCATAAACGTAATTAGAAACAAAGTAATCGTATGTGCACTACGATTCGTAAATGTGCACTCTCGGTATATAAAGTAAATATGTACGTATGTATGAGAGTTAGATAGACACGTATATTGTATATGTTGCTATGTGGGTATATGTATATGTGTTTTTTTTTTTTATTTGCCTTTGCTTACTTGTTTTAGGCAATCCTGCTTATTACTTGATCAAGCATAAGGGGTATTGCCGGATATTTTTGCAAGTAGAGTACTTGAATTTCATATATATGTATATATCATATATTGTGTTTGGGATTTGGTATACTTTGTGTTAAATACACGAAGGTAAGATTTCCTACGCAATAAAAATATGTATATTATGTGTATTGAATTTTTTGGTGAAACCAGAAATACCGCAAATACAACAATTTGGCAACCGTTTTTGAAAACCGTAATAAATATACATATACCCTGCAGTAATGAGGTACAAAATGGAATCGATACAACTTACTTGAATATTCGTCAAGGGATTTTGGGGACTATAGCCTGTATTTTGTATGTAGATGCCTGCTGATGTATCCAATCCTTCCCTGGGATGTTCCTTGAGGTTTCTGATTGGTTTTTGTTGTATTAATTTCGCGCCCGTTTTATATGTTAATATGTATATATACATATATATGGGTTTTAATGGTTTTCCGCGCACTTTTTTTTTTTTTTTTTGTCACTGCACTGTTATATTATGCACCAAAAGCATATGTATATATATATAAATTTTTTTTTTTTTGTTCTTGTGGTTACTGCACTTTTTTTTTTATTTGCACCAAAGCATATGTATATATATTATATATAAAAAAATTTTTTTTTTGTTCTTGTGGTCACTGTCCTTTTTTTTTGTTTTTTCCTTCTGCCTTTTTTTTTCAATACACTTTGTTGTTGGCTTCTCTGTTTATATATACATATGTAAATCACTTTTAAGCACTTTTCATATATATATTTTATTTTTTATTTTTTATTTTAGTTGTTTGTCACCACCAATTTTTTAAGGTTTTCCACCCTTATTTTTACTAAAAAAATTTTTTTTTTACTATAGTGCCATTCGGAATGGCTCGAAGGACCAATGTTAAGCCCACCACTTACTTGCCACTTTATACTTCCGCGTGTGCAAATTAAAGTAAAATCGAATGTTTTTCCGTTTCGAAAATGTTTATTTTAATATGAAATTATAAAAAAGGTTATCTTGACGCACTCACTCCCTGGTCGCATACCAGTGGAGAGGTAATAAAATGATATAAATTTATTGACGATAAAACGCGCCAAAGGAAAGCTCGATGTTTGCTGATCGACAGTCGCTGAGAGAAGAGGCTGTCCGCTTCGAGGACAGATGTTTTGTTCGGTGTGTTGTGTAGAGATCCTTGTGTGGTGTGTGGGTGTTGTGTGTGGTGTGTGTGCCAGTGTTGTCTTGTGTGTGGTGTGTCTGAGTTCTTCGGGGCGGGAATTGTAACTCATTTGGCCAGATATGAAATTCCTTTTGTGAATATATATGATAGCATACTAAACAATTACATTTTAATTAATTAATGTTCTATTTCAAAAGACTTTTTTTTAGTCAACATGAAAATAAGACCTACTTTTTAAATATTTCTTATGTTTGATAATATTATAAACTTTCATATACAATATGTATGTATATTTGCTTGTATTGTATATATACATATGTGGGTCATTCCAAGTCAAATCGACAAATAGTTGGACGCGACCCCACCGATTTGGATGATTTTTGGCAGAGAGTTTTGTCTCATTATAAAACGAAGTTCTGCCAAAGGAAAAACTTTTTCCTAAGAGTTATTCAAAATTGAAATATTCATTGTTTTTCCGATGTTATGAGTTTATTTATTCAATATTTCAGAAACTATTGTATATTATGATAAAAACGCTGGTGCGTTCATAGTGGTATAAAAAACAAATTTTTAGGAAAAAAAATTTTAAAAATTACCAAAATTAAAAATTTTTCGTTTTTAAATTTTTCAAAATTGTAAAAAGTACCCGGCGCGGAAAATTTTGCCTCAAAACTTATCTTCGACGGGTACTTTTTATAATTTTGAAAAATTAAAAAATTTTTAATTTTGGTAATTTTGAAAATTTGTTTTCAAAATGATCTTCTTGTACCTCGTAGTGTCCTCTATGCACGCACCAGCGTTTTTTTTACTAATATACAATAGTTTCTGAAATATTGAATAAATAAACTCATAAAATCGGAAAAACAGTGAAAATTTCAATTTTGAGTAACTCTTAGGAAAAAATTTTAAAAAACTTTGTTTTATGATGAGACAAAACTCTTTGCTAAAATTCATCTATCTCGGTGGGTGTCGCGTACAACTATTTGTCGATTTGACATGGAATGACCCATGTATGTACACAACATACTATCATAATATTCTAAAAATATATAATGCATATATATATTACAATAGTAATTTATATAAATCCTATCTTTCATCATTTAAAATTTATATACGCATGTATCATGCAAATATGTATGTATGTACCTTCGTAAAAGAATTATATCTGCAGGCTTCTGCATTCCAGTTATATTACCCCGCTATCCATCCGAAAGTTCTGTAGCACGTGGCATTCTTACTATATAATTAAAATTAAAAGTAATTAATTATATTTGCATACACTAGATTTAATATCTTTAACTTACTTATTTTTAAATTTTTTCATTTTAGTTAAAAACTAAATATGTATATATGTTGTCCGTGCAGCTGCCAGAACACAAATAGATGAATTTGCACATATAATTATTTTCTATGAACTATACAAATCGCAATGCCGTATTTAATTAACGGCACTACAAATGAGACGAGTATTAAATGTTATACACGGACAAAATATGTGAACCATGAATACTGAGATCCAAAAATTTGCACACATAATTCTTTTACGAAGGTATGTGCACTTTCACGCATTCAAATCACTATATTATCACTTATCAGTAATAACATGTGCCAGAGAACTGCAAAAGTGCATAATTTTTGCTTTAAAATCGGTAGCGATGGCCACTCACACTCAAACACATGTATGTTGGTCCAAATAACTACTCAAAGAAATATGAGCGCGAGAAGCAACTGAGCACATCGAGCATTTGCTATTGCGTCGTAGTTGTGTTTCTTTTTCACACTCTTCGTTTTTATTTGCACGGCGGTCTTGCTTATAAAATATATATAAACAAAATAAAAACTCATGACAAGTAATGGCAAGTACAACAAATGCAAATGATCAGTAGCCGGTGTACCTGTGTATTTGATCTTTATTTATGTTGTATTTTTTTGTGTGCTTTGTTTGAGCGTTGTTTAACTCTTTGTTGTGTGCCGAATGCATTTTAAAATTGTATTATTCGGTTAAGAATATTCTTAGCACACATTCTTATCGATCAAGTATTTTTGTTAAGATTAATAAATTAAAAATTAAAAGCCTAACTTTAGAGAAAAAAATCAGGTTTATATAAACAAATATATACATATTACTATATAAGATCAGCTTTGGTATTATTATTAAGTTTAATATTTAATAAATAAATCTGTTTATTACTGTTTTATAATTTTTTTCAAATCCACTTTGTTTACAACAAATATAGATACCATTACCAGAAAACTGAAACAGTACACACTAACAAAGAGAGAAAGTCCCAGCTCATATGTACACGGACTCTTTTGTCGCAGAAACCGTTTTTTGTGGGTGCCGCTTATGCTCGGGTGGCACGATTTATGTTCTTCGGTTTCAAATGAATATATACGAATTTTTTTTACATTTTAATATCGTTATTTATATTAGGTATATGGCAGATGGATATGGCCAGAGATGCACCGTTGTTTGAAAAACATTTAATTTTATTAGAATAATTCACACATTGGCCGATATATGCGGTATAAAGTCAGCCCGAAGTTTGAAAATATTTATATTAGGTATATGAGGGCTATGAGAAGTATTGACCCGATTTAACCCATTTTTGACAAACAGACATAATATTATCAGGAAAGGTTTCTTTCCAAATTCTAATTATATACATATCTCATACATTGAACGATAATTTTGGTAAAAAGTCAACCATCGACCCAGAGTCCACATTTTCGGTATATAGGTTGAACAGTTATGTCCCTACTTGAGATGGGATATTTTGAAGGTACTCTTTTTGCAAAGTTTTATTACGATATAGTATTGTATTTTTTAGTGCTTGCTTTGTATATACATAGGCACGTAAGGATAATATTACTTGCCGAATTTGGCCTATTGTCCAATGAAAAATTAAGGTTTCTGACTTGTTTATTTAATAAGTTATCGCACTTTTATTTCACTAATTTTTACCCCGTCGATAGGGTTGCTATAAGGATTTGTCCTGATTGAATTTGATTATTACAGCTTTAGTGGTTTAGGAGATATACACATTAAACTTATTAGAGTACGAGACCACGCCTACTTTTTAAAAATTTTTTAAACCGCAGATTTATTGGTTTTCGATTAACGACATTTTGTTGGCGTGGCAGTGGTCCGATTATGTCCATCTTCAATACCGACGGTGCCAAGATATACATATGTGTACCAAGTTTCATCAAGATATATCACTTTTACTCAAGTTACAGCTTGTACCGACGGACGGACGGACGGACGGACAGGTGACTGTCTGACCCGAATTTCAACTGGTCTCTTCATCCTGATCATTTATATATTTACCTATAATTAGTTTTGGGTGATACAACCAACCGTTAGGTGAAAAAAACTATTATGGTATACTCTGTAGCAACATTTTTCAGGAGTATAAAAAGTTAGCGAAGGGGTTTAACTTCATTGTTAGAGGAAATCGTGAATGGATTACAGTCAAATTCGGTATTTTTTAACTCACATATATAATCTTATAGATCATAGACTAAATTAGTTTTACAACTATATTTTATTATTTTATAGATCATAGACTAAATTAGTTTTATTACTATATTTTACTTCCTGGCAGCGAAATATATATTGAAATCTTCCCCAAATAAGACATACATTACTGGGAATAAACGCAACCGAAGAGGCTTAATATAATACATTAAGTTGATGTGAGAAACGTCAACCAAAGGACTGGAATTTATTGATTAGGCATGAGAGGTTTAGACTAACATCAATTTCATTTACATCTATTGAGCGCCAAACCATTTATATAATTTTTTAACTTTTAAGAAAACGTGTCCACTTAATTTTATTAAAATGTCACACATTTTGACCAATCTAAACGGTTTACAGACAGGTGGAAAGTTGGAAATCATTTATAAGATATATTGCAATGGAATGGCTGATTGCATTGATTTTTCACATTGCTTAGGTATACTTGACAACTTATTTTAAAGCAATTTTATAAATATACAAATTTAATCAGGTATATAGAGTAAAGTCAGCCGGACGTTTCAAAATCCTGAATATCAGTTATATGGGGGCTAAGGCAAGTTTTCGCCCGATTTTATCCACACACACAGAATGGGGTTCATATATTCGGTATTCAGGGGCTTGAACAGTTATGGTTCGATTTTGAAAATTTTTAGACTCAATATAGCATATCTAGTGCCTTCATATTCTGGCAAAGTTGTATCCGAATATATTCGTTGGTGCTTGATTTGTGTAC